CACACACACACACACACACACACACACACACACACACACACACACACTAAAAAGCAGTCTGTTGATGAAGGCTTGTAAAATAACTTTTGAAAGAGGTTGCCAGGCTGGTAATCAGGAAGCGGCTTTTGTTTGCCATATGGTCACTTTATATTTTGAGTAATTATGATATCGTTGTATTGATGAGCAAAAACTCGCCCAATAGCTGAGCTGCATGTGAGTCCACGTGACTCAAACTGTGCCATTTCCACCCGCAGGATCTGCAGCGGGACATCGAGCAGCACACGGACAGCGTGGCGTCGGTGCTGACGCTGTGCGACGTCCTGCTCCACGACGCCGATGCCTGCGGCGACTCCGAGAACGACTCGATCCAGCAGACCACGCGTAGCCTGGACCGACGCTGGAGGAACATCTGCGCCATGTCCATGGAGAGGAGGATGAGGTGAGCGGTCACAATTAACAGAAAGCTCCCTCTGAAATCTTTATTATGTCAGGGTGGGTCATCCCAACAAAAAACACACAGTACCCACAAACATAATATCATCATTGGTTCTGTGATGAAAGCTGCTCAGGTTTTCTCAGTTGACTTTTCCTCATTACACAAAAGTGAAAGGATCCCTGTTGCTTTCAGGATCGAGGAGACCTGGCGTCTCTGGTGTAAGTTCCTGGATGACTTCTCTCGCTTTGAAGACTGGCTGAAGACATCTGAGCTCACCGCAGCGAACCCGGACTCTGCCGACGTCCTCTACACCAGCGCCAAGGAGGAGCTCAAGAAGTTCGAGGTCAGGAGACAACCCCTAACTATGAATTTTACAGAATATTATTGATCAGAAGGGGTCATAGAAAAAGTCGCAATTACAAATCCGTCTACTACTTCAGCACCACGGACAGCGTCATGGATTTACCGAGTCGCGGCCATCGATTCTGTAACTTTAGATTCTATTCTTCAAAGCTGCAGATTGATGCACTGCATGTGCAGATGTTCAGACGGATACATGTCTGTCTCTTTTCACTCAGTGCAACACAAACTAAAAACTAAAACAATAATTCTGTGGCTCCTCAACAGAGTAACTCACATTTCCTCTCCGTTCTCTCGTCAGGCGTTCCAGCGGCAGGGTCATGAGCGCCTGACTCAGCTGGAGCTGGTCAACAAGCAGTACCGCCGCCTGGCCCGAGAGAACCGGACCGACGCCGCCAGCAAGCTCAAAGTCCTGGTCCACGAGGGGAACCAGAGGTGGGACAGCCTGCAGAAGAGGGTGGCGTCTGTCCTCCGCAGACTCAAGGTGAGACGGGGAAATCAACACAAACAGCAGCAACAGATCGATGTATTTGCTGATGCGTGCGTCAGCAACCTGCACGCATGAAAACAAGTACGATAGAAACCAGAGAGCAAAACATCAGCATGTATCAAATCCTCCCAGCCGATCTGAGCAGCATCTCCCTGCTCTCAGCTCTGCTCTAAGCCTCCAGGATTGAGGTCACTTCTCAGACGGTAACGAGGCTGGAGGCGTCACGTTGGCAGGAAGCCATTTTTCATCGCAGCATTTGGCGCCGAGCAGATGGAGTGTGTTTATGTTGCTTTCGTGAAGGTTGTGTGTGTGATCAAAGAATCGAGCTGATTGGTGCTGGTTGACCTTTGCGCACTATAAGCGATATTTACATCCAGGGAATGTGCAGCAGACCAGGGTCAACAGTCAACAGTTAAACAAGTAAAACTTGAAATCACAAATTGGCCTCAGAAGGCTTTACAAGGAAGAAACCTCAGGGAGAACAACTGAAGAATGAACAACATAATAAAGTAACCTATCCATCCATATGACAGAAACGATACATAGATGACTTTAGCTAAACTAAACAGCACTTAAATAATGGCGTCCGTCCTCTGCTCTGTGCTCCTGCAGCACTTTACCTCTCAGAGAGAAGACTTTGAGGGAACGCGTGAGGGGATCCTGGTCTGGCTGACGGAGATGGACCTCCAGCTCACCAATGTGGAGCACTTCTCAGTGAGCGACGTCGAGGACAAGATGAGGCAGCTCAACGTAAGTTAGCACACACGCTTCTCACTTTCAAACCTTTTATTAAAGACAAACAAGCGTTCCTGAAAACTCAACTGACTCTTTTGCTCCCGTCTGCAGGGCTTCCAGCAGGAGATCACCCTGAACACCAACAAGATCGACGCCCTCATCGTGTTCGGGGAGAACCTGATCCAGAAGAGCGCCCCTCTGGACGCCGTGCTGATCGAGGACGAGCTGGAGGAGCTGCACTCCTACTGCCAGGAGGTGTTCGGCAGAGTGGCTCGCTTCCACCACCGCCTCGTCAACAGGCGCCCGGTCAGTACTGCATGCTGTGAACACAGTCCACATCAACGTGTGCGTTAATCAATGATATGGTTTCAGGGATTAAGTCATCAGCACATTATTCTACTTATTTATTCAAAACGGTCTTGGCTTCCAACATGACACAAAATAATAATTTAATAATGATAATAAAAATAATAATTTATATTATTGTAATAATAAAAATATGTATTATTGCTTAAAAAGATAAAAGTGAAACAATAAACAAAGAAGTTAACAATACTACTCTAATAGACTACTAATGAAAATACATAATAATTACAATAATAATAACAATAATAATACAAATAATAACAATATTTTGAAACCTTTTGTTTCAGAGAAAGACTGTTGCTTGTTTAAATTTAAGTGAAATTGGAGCTTTCTTCTTCTATGTTTTTGAAGGTTCTGGAGGAGGAGAGGGAACTGTCAGACCGGGACACCGACCTGGACGACGCAGCTGATCTAACCAACGGAACGTCCTCCTGGGAGGAGGCGAGGAATGAGGAGGAGGAGGAGGCTCCAGCAGTGGGTGGAGTCTCAGCTGGACGGCAGGCCGTGTGTCACCTCCTAGTGCCCCCTCTGGAGCGGTCGGGAAGAGAGACCCCCGTCAGCGTGGACTCCATCCCGCTGGAGTGGGACCACACTGTGGACGTGGGAGGGTCGTCGTCGCATGAGGACGACGAGGACGACACCTACTTCAGCGCCCTGTCAGGTGATCACTGCTGCTTTTCGATATTTACCTCAACATGTCCGAGTTTATGGCGATATAGTGTCTGTTTGCTGTTATTTGCGGATCAAATTTACATTTAGGTTTTTGCTTTCTTTTATTGGAATTCCTCCAGAAGTTGAATCCTTTCCTCCTCGAACCAGTTAGTTTATTAGAGGACGTCTTTGTGAGACGAGTGCAACCAAACGAACGGTCTCCTGTAAAGTCTCTCTCAATGCAGTAAACACCTTAACGTTCCTTAACTCAGGGAACCTTTCAAAGGGATTCTGTGAAGTAAATCCCTCAGCTAAGGAGAAGTTAAGCCTTAAGTGTCAAACTTAAGGTGTTTTGGGCAACCAGACTGAGTGAGACCAAGGATCATCCTGAAAGTTATATTGGTTTTAAAAATGGTCAACGAGAATGACAAATATTATCATGTTGTACTCGGCTAAAATGAAAATGACTTTCACTTTAAATGATAAAGTTCAAGTATTTATTTATGACCCATTTTTAACGACGATGCCTTCAGTAGGAAAACGATGAGCTTGGGGCTGAGAGCCACAGTCATGGTAGGAAAGTCTAAAGGTTAATGCGGACTAACGTGTTGTTCTTTATCAGATATCAGATATCACCAGCGATCCTCTTCAAGTCCTCGTTACTGAAATTACAAATTTGACGCAGATCTTCTCTGCGTCTCCGTTATTCTGATCCTGAACGCTCCTGAAACATGAAACATGACTTGTGCAGAGCTCCGCCCTTTTTCCAGAGCGGCCTCCAGACACCGCTGACCTCCACTCTCTCTTACAGACGTGAATGTCACAGAGAGCTCAGAGTCCTTTGTTAGAGCGACTGTCGGAGCAGCGACGGCTGCCTCGGGTAGGCGCTCTGCCTCCTGCATGCTGTGTGCTCACGGACCCGCATTCCATCTCCTAGCAACCCCAAACCCACCCAGCCGTACCTCACCTCCCCATCCTTCATCTAATCCACAGACACCTTGCTTCTGCCACATTTGTACCTCAAGACACAGATGTGGCTGTGCACTAGAGCTGCAAAGATTCAATTCATCAGCAACTGTTTTGTTAATTGGTTTGAGTCATTTTGTTGGAAAAAAAAGTCCAAACTGCAGCTTCTTAAATGTGAATCTATTGCGTTTTCTTTACTCTATGACAGAAAATTGAATATATATTTAGTGGACGTCATCTTGGGCCAAACAACTTAATGATTAATCAAGACAATAATCAACAATGAAAATAACTGCCGCTCTACTGTGCACCACGACAACTTATCATGATATTATTTATGTTGATTATATCGTTATAACAATTGTTAACGAAGATCGAAACTTTATAAAACTTGCATGACGTGACAGTGGATGCTATATATCCATTTGTGTTTGTGATGCTGTTCTTTGCATGTCTTTGACGGATGTTTTGTGTGAATCACGAGGCTGAGTGATGAGTCTGATGGTTCTAGTTCTCCTGTTATTACTCTGTTCTCTCTTTCTCTGTGCTTCATTTTTGAATGAACCTTTTTGGGTTTGGCCCCTCTCTCTCCTTTTCTTCTTTCTTCCTTATTATCACGCTGCCTTCGCTAAACTTTCCCCTTTTTTCTCTCCTCAGTGAAGTCCTTGACTGACCCGCCCAGCTGGCACCAGCCCGGCTCCCCAGAGCGGAAACGGGTTCCCCGAGAAATCATCCGAGGTCTGAACTCGTCTCCCACACACACCACCAGTACTCCCTTCCACCAGCAGGGCTACGTAAGGACACACACGCATCAAGACCTTTGAAGACTTCAAGTGTCCATCGGCTAAAGAAATTTAAGTGTCTTTGTTTTTCACTGAAGAGGTGTGTGTTATGCTGTGTGTGTGTGTGTGTGTGTGTGTTCAGGCTAAGCTGATGTCGGAGTGCAGCGGCACCATCAACAGCGTGAAGAGGGTGAAGCTGATCCTGAACGACGAGGGGGATCTGGAGGATCCGGGTCTGACCAGCAGCACGGCCGACAAGCAGACCAGCACAGGTACTCTGACGCAGATGAACAGCAGCGTGAGAGGTCTCATGTTTTAGGAGAGACGCAACTAAAAAAGTGGTTTAATGAGAATCTTAAAGTCTGAACACAACAAAGGATCACAATAATAACTGCTGACTCTGCAGGTGTGATCGAGCGCTGGGAGCTGCTACAAGTGCAGCAGTTCAGCAGCGAGACGGACATCAAGCAGGACCTGGAGCAGTGGCAGAAGCTGAACTCTGACCTCTGCGATGTCACTTCCTGGTTGGGCCGGGTGCTGCCAGAGCTAGAGAGGCTACAGCGCATCGAACCGTCCACCGACATCCGAGACCTCGAGCTCAACATCAGGAAACTAAAAGTAAAACACCAACAGCACCGGGTAACCACGCAGGACAGTCCGATGACGAAAAACACTTCATCTCATCTTCTTCCTTGTCTTTTTTGTATTTGTTATAGGAGATGCAGAAGACCTTCAACAGCTACAAGTGTCTGATGATCTCCGCCAACCTGAGCAGCCGGCATTTCCTGCGGGGCGACAGCGCCGAGCTGCGGGAGCTGCAGGACGCTCTCGGCTCAGCCAATCGCAGCTGGACGCAGGCCTGCGGCGGCCTGGAGAGCTGGGAGAGGAGGCTGCACTCTGCACTCATGCAGTGTCAGGTCAGACATCCTCTGGTTTTCACGTCAACACATTTGAGTTTATAATAATTACTGTGGTTCAGAACATGTGATGTGATGAACGTTTAAATGACCTCTGTGTTCTTCTTCAGGAGTTTCATGAGACGCTGCACTCTCTGCTGCTGTGGCTCGCTCAGGCTGAGAACAAACTCTCTGTCGTGAATGTCGTCGACCAGTCGATGCCTCGCTCTGTCCTGCTGCAGCATCGGGACATGCTGACGGTGAGCAGACCACCCATCGGTTCATCATCACTGTCTTGAAATACTTTTATTCTTTTACAGCGCCCATAAGCATTTTTCCAAACATCTTCCAATATGTCCGAGTCTGATTTTAGTAAGCTAAGGGAAGAGGTTTCCAACAGCTGGTGATGGGGGTTATGGGAGATGTAGTCTTTATTTTGGCACTAACAATAGAGACAGAACAAATATAAATGTGCACATGTTCACTTGGTCCTCATTTGAAAGACATTGTTTTACCATCGAGCCTGCTCCAGAGTCAGACCTTGTTCATCAGGATGTTATTCTTCTGGTGAACTCTCACCTCCGTCTGTCCATCAGACGCGTTCAGCACCTGCTGTGTGCTGACTGCTGTGCTCTCTGTCGCCCCCTGCTGCAGGCTCTGCAGGAGGAGCTGCGCGGCCGCCAGCGGGAGGTCTCCTCGCTGCAGGAGATCTCCTCTCAGCTCCTCCTGGAGGCCACGGGAGAAGACAGCCTGGAGGCCAAGGAGAAGGTCCACGTCATCGGCAACAAACTGCATCTCCTGCTGCGGCAGGTGGCTGCTGACCTGAGCACGCTGCAGGGAAGACTGGTGGGTCCATTTGACTGCTTTAGCCTCAGTCTGGTTTGACTCTGCTGTGATTCTGGTTTCATAAACTGATGAGCGGCCGTTCTTCCTGCCAAAAAGTGTCAGAATTAGCTTTAACATTTTGGATAATTTTTTTCTGTATTTGTGGCAAAATGACATTTGAGTTATTGTTATAAATTAATATCTCACTTAGCTGAAGCTTTCCAACAAAAACTTTACTGTAATTTACTGTAAGACTGTGATTTGGTTCCAGTTACAGAGAAATGGAGACAGCGTTGATTGTAATTTAGAGAATATTTTAGTCAGTAGAAATCTCTATCGCCTAAAACACAAGCAATACTTTTAATGTTAAGTGCAATTTTATTATCAGTGCAGCTCAGCTGGACACAGAACAATTAAATAAACATTTTACAGAGAATTTTGCAATTCAAAATACATAAAACATAACATTTGTATTAGTAAATGAGTAATGAAGGAACATTATATTGGGTTGAATGATGCCAAATTACAGAGAGTTCTTTCTGAACAACGTTTTGGAAATGATTAGAAAACCCTTCAGAAGTTACAGACCCGTAAAATGGAGCATCTGTTCAAATACCAGAAAGCATAAATGAGCTGCTGTCAACAGTGCAGTAACCTGGGACCTCTGTCGGTCTCATCTGATGTGTGTTTGCTGTCTGTGTCTCAGGAGCGCTGCTCAGCCAGCTCAGAGGTGGACGGCATCGGTCTGGGAGCACTCGGCTCTCCTCTGCTGCTGCACAAGGTACACCTGAATATTTACCTTTGGTGAGACGAGTTAAAGTCAAACTAACGTTGGGTTTGGTTGTTACATTTTAATGTGAAGGAATATTGCCTTAAAAAGAATTCAGCTTATTTCAAGTAAAACCTGTTTTACTCCGTATAAATACTCAATTACAAGTGAACAGTCTGCCATAAAAACGTGATAAGATTTTGAAGCAGGTCATCCAGATGTTGGATAAAATTCCAATCAGGCGTTAGTGAGATATCGTGTTCACGAGAATGGAACGCACAGACGGATAACTTTCACACATAATGCCTCCGGCCGCGGCTTTCGTCTTAGCTAAGCCATAAAAATGTGAAAAAAAAGAGCAGTAAAATGCAACATACACATTAATGTAGCAGCAATATTAATCCAAAACCATGATGGTAAAACATTAAATAAATGTTAAATGAGTACTACCTTAAGTACGTTGTACATAGTAAATGTTCTGCAGGCTGTAGTGCTGGACCTTTACATTTCCCACACATCTAAAAACCACCGCAGTCATCGTTTTCTGTCGTAGATGATCGTTGATGTTTTGAAGGTAAACACAAGTCGTGTGTCTTGTTCTTGTTTGTTGCTTTAGGAGGCTGCAGGTCTACAGGCAGCTACAGTTGGACAACCAGTGACTAAAAGGTAACGTTTACAAGCTGGAACGGCACTTTTTGTATTGTTCGATTTTTTTAGAAAATGAGCTTCAGGGTTTAGTTCCTCCAAATGAAATATAAACATTTCAACAGATGTGTCTTCGTGGAGGGATGTCTTTTTTACCGTAGATTATGAAGTAGTTCCAGTGAACACAGAATAACAACATGGGAATTTCGTCAGTGTGAGGAATATTTGAGACGCAGTCTAAAGATCCACTCAAAGTCCACAAGAGCTTTTGCAAAGTTTATTTGTTGTTAAACTGCTGTTGCAAAGTCAAAAATGAACATCCACCCTCAACCATCTGCATCATCTGTCCACATCCAGGGAGGGGAGGAGGGATTCTTCCCCACGGCGATCCTTCTTCCACCGGGTCCTTCGAGCTGCCTTCCCCCTACACCTGCTCTTCTTCACGCTGCTGGTTCTGGCCTGCCTGGTGCCTCTGTCTGATGAGGACTACAGCTGTACGCTGTCCAACAACTTCGCCCGCTCCTTCTACCCAATGCTGCGCTACACCAACGGCCCTCCGCCCACATGAAAGCTGCCATAGCCTGATCAATCATGTGAGCTTGAAATCAAAATGGAGCCTTGAACAGTGTTAATGTGCAGGTTCAAAGACACTTCTCCCTTCCACAAAAACGAAGCCCCGCCCATCAAATTTTTTTTGGTGTATTTCAAAATATATTTATTGTTTGTGGAGTTCCACAGTTACAAAAAAAGAAGCCATATCACTGGTTCGTTTGAAAGTTTTGTGATTTTTAAATGTAGTTTATCGTCCCCACCAAACATCTTCAATACCTGATTTTATTACCTACAGAATATTTTAATTTTTGTACTTTCACTGTTCTAAACTGAAGGAAAAGGAGAACACGAGCCATTTTCTACCACTGCAGCTGTTTTTACTGTTTTCATAGAAGGAAGCCACTTGTTGATCGCACATTTTGTACAGAAACGTTGTTCGATTGATATTTAAAGTGACGATCTGTAAGATATGACATATTAAAAAATGACGGCGGTGATTCATCTGCAGACATGCCTTTCTGTAGCCAACAGAACTACCATAACTTCAATTAATAATGTAATTTTCTTGGTTTCATTGACGATGTTTGTATATAAGGGCAAACTACTGACAGAGAAATAGTTCAATTGTTGTTTCTGCATTTGAGTGTGATACTGATATCTGTATTTAACAATGGGGCAATAGTTTACATGCCAGTGGATTAAAATGACAGATGTTTTCCTATGCGTATGTTAACTTTACTGTCAGTGTACTGGAGGTCTTTTCTCATTATGTTAGTGGATCACAGAAATTAAAAGCTGCATTAGCAGTTTCTTGACCACTAGGGGGCAGAAAGAGTCGAGACGCATCACTGATAAAGCAATAGCTAATCAACTGCTTTAAGCTAACGGTAACATAAACCACTAACACGTTAGACATTAATCCTCAGTGCATTTGGTACCATGAGCAACAATATCACATTAAATTTTCGTCATTTGATTCAATGTTTTATCAAAAGAAATCATTGAATGAAGTTTTAAAAGTTAGTTTTTTCAAACGCTTAATATTGATGCCACATTATTAGCTTTGGCATCACGCTGTCCCAGTTGACCCCCATGGAGTAAAGCCCTGCAGGTGTCAAACATCCAGCAGGGTTAAACAAAGACTGATTTTAAATAGTTTGTGGTTAATGCGATAATGTACATAAATGACTTACCTGAACACTGCTTTAACACACTTTTCAGTCATGTAGTTGAAGAACTGGTATCAAAATATTACAGAACATGAATGTAAGTCATCCTTTGGGCATTGAATGTAGCTGTGTATAAGCACAATCAAAGATCGTTAAATGTGTTTCATTTACAGTGTTAATATTATTGATCCTAAATGTTAAGGAGAAAGTATGATTTGATTCGAAAACTCAGTATTTGATCCTAATTTGTACCTAATCTCAGCGTCACACTCAGCAGAACAGAAACCAACAACAAAATGTGTGTAAAGTTTGATTTATTTTGTGAACTATTATTTATGGGATGTATAGATTGACAATAAACTGTTTGCCATGATTTGCAGCTGTATGTTTAATGTATCTCTGGGCTAAAAACTTTCAGGATCTTAGATTTGAATGACTGTATGCATGCATATACTGTACAAGCTACAGACATCAGAAATCTGTATTAGCAGTGGCAGGATCATCTGGCAATAAGGCTGAATTTACATTGCCAGAAAAGAGGCACAGTCAGAATAAAACAAGTATTAAACATGGTTACAGTATGTCAAATGGTCATGAAAATGTCATAGCATAGCATGTCAAAAACTATAGTATACTATAGTATTTCTAAAAAAAGTCATAGTATAGTATTTTGAAAAAGTCTGTATAGCATGTCGAAAAAAGTCACAGTATACTATGAAGAAAAAAAGTTACAGTATCATATGTAGAAAAAAGTCAGTGTAGTATGTCAAAAAAAGTCATGAAAAAGTCTCAGTACAGGGCGACGGCCGGCCTCTGACAGCAGTCGTGGCTGATTACCTGATGCAGAGCACCTGCAGAGTGACCGCCCTGCTCCAGTGTTGCTCTGCCCTGGTCTTTCTCTGGCGTACGTGGTGTGATCTCTGCCAGTGGCTGCCGGTTATATTTTGGTCTTCTTTGGTTTCGCTGACAACACCCCACACTTCATCACACACGCATCCACGTTCACATTACTGATGTTACTGACTGACACACTTCATCACACACGCATCCACATTCACATTACTGATGTTACTGACTGACACACTTCATCACACACGCATCCACGTTCACATTACTGATGTTACTGACTGACACACTTCACAGAGGTACTTAGTTCTTTATTTAGTTAAAATAAATACTTTACCACCATCCCTTGTGTCTCGTCCATATTTGTCATGGCCTAGGAGCCGGGTTGTGACAATAGTATGTCGAAAAAAATCAGGATAGCATGTCGAAAAAAGTCATAGTATAGTATTTTGAAAAAAAGTCATAGTATAGTATTTTGAAAAAAGTCATAGTATATACTATGACTTTTTCGACATGCTATATACTCACTTTTTCCAGAGCTTTCAACTTCCCCAGGAGGGGAGAGCCGGTACGAAAGTAAAAATGTTCAGGTAAACGTCATTTTGACAACTTTTTACGCTGTGAGCAACAACTCACATGTGTGTTCAATGAATTCCAGGTGCTTTTTTTGCACAAATGGAACGACTTCGGTATGATTTGTCTTTGAATCGTTACTTTTGACTTGTCAGTCGGGACAACGGTAACACACAGTTGACCCAATTCAAAGTTATATCATATACATTTTTAATTGTTTGTTGTTCTTGTTTTTATCAATAATGTCTGACAATGTCCTTGTCGATGTTTAATCGTAACAAATTATGGTTTCAACAATGAACTTTCACCCTCTATAACATGTGTCCATATTCAGTACCGACTACTACGAGCTGCATTTCCCCTACACCCATTCTTCTTCATGCTGTTTTTATTAAAAATGTCTGACAAAGTCCTTCTCAATATGTTATTATAACATATTGTGGACTATATTTTAATAACTTTACAGCCAGTGTTTTGGAGGTGTTCTTTAGCAAATGCCGTTTGATGATTCCTGACCACTAGGGGGCAGAAAGAGACACACCCGTGATATAACAATAACTAATCGTGTGCTTTAAACTAACATGGGAGCATTACGTTTACTTAAAGGTCATTTGTTTCAATGGAATATCAAAAACATCACTTTAAGTTGGTAGTATTTTTTTAAATTCTGTTTAATATTGATGCAGCAATATTAGCTGAGGCCGGGAGTCCTGTGTCAAGACATTAACAGCAGCAAACACATATCACTCTGCCATTAAGCTAAAGAACAACCGGCTACACATCTTGTGTCATCTTTAAGAGGTTTGTGGTTTATGCTGCAATAAACTGAACCGCTGCTTCTGAAAAACCTTTCAGTCATGTAGTTGAAGGACTGATGTCAAAATCTGACGAGCCAGAACGTGAATGTTAGTGATCCTTTAGGCATTAAATGTAGCTGTAGATATAAACAATCAAAGATCTCTCAATGATTTTCATTTACAGTGTTAATAGTATTTATCCTAAATGTAAAAACTCTCAAATGACTCATGCTCAGCAGAACAGAAACAAACAGCAAAACGTGTGTAAAGTTGGATTTATTTTGTGATCTCTTATTTATGAGATGTATAGATTGTCATTTTTGATTGACAATAAACTGTGTTTGGCATGATTTGCGGCTGCATGTTTACCGTATCGCCGGGTCAGAGAAAGACCAGCGTTGACAGGTTTAACAGGCAAATGATCTTTTTTGTGTGTGTGTGTGTGTGTGCATGCATGCATGCACAAGCTACAGACATCAGGAAAGAAAGGATAGTGGACATGTATCCGTCTATTAGCAGTGGTAGGATAATCTGGCACTAAGGCTGGATTTACATTGGCAACAAAATGGCAGAACTTCGACCAGACGTCCAAAAAGGACCTAAATGATGCGTTCAGGTTATAAATCCAATATTCTGAAGGATTCACTCTTTCACTTTATTTGGCCTGGATCAAAACAAACCTATTTGAACTTGGATGGCACCAAATAACAAGAGAACAGCGGTGTGGTTTAAAAACAACACAGCAAACAAGCCTGAAACACGAGGCTTTAAACGTGCAGGGAGACAAAAAGTTCAAGGACTCAAAGCAAACAGTTCGTGTCTGTTCCTCGTGTCTGTAGAGCCAACAACAACTAAACAAGCCAGTTCTGGACTGATGCTCATGTTCAGGTTCTTCTTCATGTGGGAAGGTGCATAAATTACAGCAAATAACACTGAGGATTCCATCATGTTTAGTTACTTGGTTTCATAAGGCTACTTTACTTTAGGCGGAGGCTCTTCGTCAAAATAAACAACAGCAGCAGAAAAAGGGAATGTTTACTAAAAAGCACTCTACTGTATTCATCCCTACTTACTTTGAATTGAATATATCTGTAATCATTTACAGTGTTCATTAGCTGAAGGTGTCGTATGAATAAGTAGACACCTAAAGGAGACGTGATGTAAGTTGAAATTGGTCACTGACCTAAATGGGAGATTTGTTCCAAAATAATTGCCAATAATGAGCTTGTATGTTCTACGATACTTAAATATAGTATCCAAATGGAACTTTGTGTGCAGTCAGTACTTTTATACAATTTTGATTTGTACAGAGAATCCTTTTTCTTTTTTTTTATGTCCCACAAATTGTTGCAAAAAAAACCGTTTTCTCGAAAATGACAAAATGTATGTGTTAAGTTAATTGTGAATATGTTTTACATTCTCTTTTCTTTGCAGAAAAACAAACAGTTTCACATTTTCGAAAGAAAAATCACAAAATCGGATCTCATAAACTCTAAAAAGAACTCGTTTCAGCTGTAGACTGATGCTAGCATAACAACATGCATTAGCATTACCCGCGCAGTACAGCTAAGCATAATTCAGTCTTTAGCATCACAGGTATTAAGTCATGAATTAAGAATACAAATCTGATGTACAGACAAATGTGCAGCATTTTAAACAGGACTATGTTTCTTTTACCAGTGTAGCTAGACTGTTATACTTTAGCATGTTAGCACTGTGTCAACATGCATACAATAAGCATGTTAAC